GTGGTGAGGGTGTACAGACTGGACCCCGGCGCACGAGCGAACGTGGCCAGGTGGCGACCATTCTGGGAGCACGTGCAAATCGCCACACGCTGCCGGCCAGGGGTGAAGGTGTCAACCCCCGCATCCTGGAGGACAGCGTTACTCACCAAGTTCGTAGAGAACGAGGGGAGGTGGAGACCAGACAGCTCACCAGACGGGACCGCCGGACACGGAAGCACAGTGGAAGACCGTGCAAGCACTGGGCCCCCAGAGGGGTCAGCCAGTGAGACAGGAACAGGTGCAGGGAGGGGAGTGACTGTGGTACTGTCACGAAAGAAACAGCGGGAAGCACCAGAGTCAAGTGTAAAGGTGAGCAAAGCCTGTGCAGGCGCAGTACCAAGGGGAGCAGACTCACAAGCACCTAGTGCTGCAGGGGCTATACCAGGGGTTATACCAGGATCCGGCGGCACACACAAGTAGCAGTCACCCTCAGCACTAACAGACAAGGCATACATAGCAGTGAGAATAGCAGCATAGTCAAGAGCAAATATATCTACCCTCTGCCCAAGCAGCTCCACCCAGTCGGGGAGCTCAGCCTCGTCGCCAAACTCGGTACGCCAGGCGTCACTCAGACGGGCGAAGCGACCCGTCCGATCTCCTGTGCGAATGACGTACGGGCAGCGAACGGTACTCAAAGACCCTCTACTCTGAGCGTACCACTCGTGAAGCTGCTGGGACGTAAGTGTCTTGCGTGGACGCGGCTGCAGCTGCAGCCGGCCACCGCCAGACGTTCCCAACTGACCAGCTCTAGGGCGACAGCTACGACGACTACCGCCACAACCCCAACTAGCGTACCACTCACGAAGCTGCTGGGGCGTGAGAGACTCGCGCGGACGTCGCTGGAGCTGCATCTGGCCACCGCCAGTACCAGTAGCAGTAGCCTAGCAGAGCAGGCGCGGCAGGCAGACACGCAGGCAGGCAGGTAGGTAGGCAGACAGGTAGACAGGCAGGCAGGCAGGCAGGCAAGCAGGCTGGCAGGCAGGCAGGCAGACAGGCAGACAGGCAGGCAGGCAGGCAGGCAGGCTGGCAGGCTAGCAGGCAGGCAGGCAGGCAGATGGCGCGGCAGCGCGCTAACAAGGCAGGTGCTCACCAGTGTCGGGTAGAGCAGGCGCTCGCCGGGCGAGCAGGGCCGGCGCTCGGCGGGCGGCTGCACGGGGTCCAGGGGCGGCGTCGCGGGATCCAGGGGCGGCTGCACCAGGGGCGGCTGCTCTGGGTCCAGGGGCGGCTGCACCAGGGGCGGCTGCTTCAGGGGCCAGGGGCGGCTGCTCTGGGTCCAGGGGCGGCTGCTCGAGGGTCCAGGGGCGGCTGCACCAGGGGCGGCTGCTTCAGGGGCCAGGGGCGGCTGCTCGGGGTCCAGGGGCGGCTGCTCGAGGGGCGGCTGCTGTAGGGGCCAGGGGCGGCTGCTCTGGGTCCAGGGGCGGCTGCTCGAGGGTCCAGGGGCGGCTGCACCAGGGGCGGCTGCTTCAGGGGCCAGGGGCGGCTGCTCTGGGTCCAGGGGCGGCTGCTCGAGGGGCGGCTGCTGCAGGGGCCAGGGGCGGCTGCTCTGGGTCCAGGGGTGGCTGCTCCAGGGGCGGCTGCTGCAGGGGCCAGGGGCGGCTGCTCTGGGTCCAGAGGCGGCTGCTCGAGGGTCCAGGGGCGGCTGCTCGAGGGGCGGCTGCTGCAGGGGCCAGGGGCGGCTGCTCTGGGTCCAGGGGCGGCTGCTCCAGGGGCGGCTGCTCTGGGTCCAGGGGCGGCTGCTCGAGGGTCCAGGGGCGGCTGCACCAGGGGCGGCTGCTTCAGGGGCCAGGGGCGGCTGCTCTGGGTCCAGGGGCGGCTGCTCGAGGGGCGGCTGCTGCAGGGGCCAGGGGCGGCTGCTCTGGGTCCAGGGGCGGCTGCTCCAGGGGCGGCTGCTGCAGGGGCCAGGGGCGGCTGCTCTGGGTACAGGGGCGGCTGCTCGAGGGTCCAGGGGCGGCTGCTGCAGGGGCCAGGGGCGGCTGCTCTGGGTCCAGGGGCGGCTGCTCCAGGGGCGGCTGCTGCAGGGGCCAGGGGCGGCTGCTCTGGGTCCAGGGGCGGCTGCTCGAGGGTCCAGGGGCGGCTGCACCAGGGGCGGCTGCTTCAGGGGCCAGGGGCGGCTGCTCTGGGTCCAGGGGCGGCTGCTCGAGGGGCGGCTGCTGCAGGGGCCAGGGGCGGCTGCTCTGGGTCCAGGGGCGGCTGCTCCAGGGGCGGCTGCTGCAGGGGCCAGGGGCGGCTGCTCTGGGTACAGGGGCGGCTGCTCGAGGGTCCAGGGGCGGCTGCTCAAGGGGCGGCTGCTGCAGGGGCCAGGGGCGGCTGCTCTGGGTCCAGGGGCGGCTGCTCCAGGGGCGGCTGCTGCAGGGGCCAGGGGCGGCTGCTCTGGGTCCAGGGGCAGCTGCTCTGGGTTCAGGGGCGGCTGGACCAGGGGCGGCTGCTTTAGGGGGGGGGGGGGGGGGGGGGGGGGCAGGGGCGGCTGCTCCAGGGGCCAGAGGCGGCTGCTGTAGGGGCGGCTGCTCCAGGGGCAAGGGGCGGCTGCTGCAGTGGCGGCTGCTCCAGGGGCCAGGGGCTGCTGCTGCAGGGGCCAGGGGCGGCTGCTGCAGGGGCGGCTGCAGCAAGTAGCAGCAGCGGCAGCAAGTAGAAGCAGCAACACAGGCGTTAGTGCAGCGTGTAGGCCTGGCGTGGGCTGTACTGGCCGCGTGCGGGCCTGACGTGGCCTGTACGGGCTGCGCGAATGCCTAGCGCGGACTGTACGGGCCGCTCTCGGGCCTGACTCGGCCTGTACGGGCTGCGCTAACGCCTAGCGCTGACTGTACGGGCCGCGCGCGGGCCTAACGTAGGCTATACGGGCCGCGCGCGGGCGTGGCGCGGGCTGTACGGGCGGCGCGAAGGCCAGACGGGGGCTGTACGGGCTGCTCGCTGGCTACGCGCGACAGGACAGGGCAGGGCCGCGGGGCAGCGAAAATCGATGCACCTAAGGGCGCATTTCGGGCAGAAAAAAGCAGAGAACGAGATTCGGGCAGGAACACGGAAGGTTTAACGGTGGGCCCTAAAAAAAAAATTCGTCCTAGGCTAGGAACGTCCTAGCTCTTAATACCATGTTAGAATCTTACGGGAAAGTTGTGTGTCGACTATCGAAAGGGAAAGATACAAAGGAGAAACCTAAGGGGTTGTACCCCACAGTGAGTACCCCACTAAGCCTAACCAAACTATAACAAATATACACATATGTTTGACAGGGCCGCAAGAGGGCGGCGCGCGGGGCAGCAGGTGCGGCACGAGGGTCGCTAGGGGCGGCGCATGAGCCAGCAGGGCGGTTAGTGAGCAGCGCTGTGGTGGGCCCAAAAAAATTCGTCATAACGAAGGACCTGCTATGAAACCATGTCAAACTAACGAACGAGAATGAATGAACTATGAAACAGTTGGGTACAATTACTAACCCTAATTGGGTTGTACCCCTTATGGGCTGCCCCACTATAGCCTACACAAATGTAAGCACTATAACATTCTGGCAAAGACCGTTCGCCCACCGAAGACAACTGGGTCCCCCTGGATAGAATTGAAAATCACCCTGTCCTCACTAAGTATCTGCGTAGCCGATTTTTTTGAGATGTACACACACTCTCGTAAGGAAAATTCGTTTTCCTTAATTCGCGCCCCTGCTTTCCGCGTACAAGACTATTCCCGCCATCGGCACCCAAACAGTGAAACGTTACCCGCTCGCGACACTCGCCTCGACTACGACTCCCGACACTGTTCACGACGCGACCCAACCTCACGGTTCGGTTGGCAAACCTCGCCCCGGACCTCCGCCTCGACATATCCCAACCTCGGCGCTAGGCCCGTAGCGCACCCCAATTCCTCATGTTACCGTTACCACTAGTTCGCTATATATTCTTCGCGCATGCCTTCTCATTGTATTGTTTTGCTTAGTGCAATTCTCGCTCGCTCGCTCAATTGCACTCGTAACACTGACACACAGGAAAATGCGGGACTAATGAACTTGCCGATGCATTGCTGGAATGACATGTGATGAGGATGCCCAATAAATGACATTTGCATTTCCTCGTGGTTCCACCTTTGACGGGCCAACCCGAAGCGGGCTGCCGTAGGTCCCACTGGGAGGAAAGGTCTGTTGACATGGCACGAACTGAATGGATTAGTGACCTTATCCATTTCCAACAGCCAAACTTTTCCAGCAAAAATGGAAATTTGAATCACGTGGAACTCCAGCCAAAGCTCCGTGTGACGCGCTTCCCCCAAGATCTTTTAGCTGATCTGTGTTAGGCAATGGCCAACGGGGCAAAAAGCTGCCTTATCAGTGTGAAAACTGTCGATCGGTGATAAGGAACGGTCAGGATGCCATGCCCTTTCCAGATAAATGTAATATCGTCTCCCCAAGTTTGGCTGATGTGGAATAACAACCAATCAACAGAGCGCAGAGCATTCACACGTGGCTCACCCAGAATGGCTTCCGCATAACGCATCAGTAGCCGATGGGTCAACCGGGAAAAGTGCAATCCTCGCCGCGCGTTTCCTCTTTCGCAGCCCAGCTGAGCTGCCCAGACATTCCCAGCTGCTGTGATCGCGGAGTGACAGCTAGTGGAGGAACTCCGAAGAGGAATCCTCGAGAATATCCATTCCATTGTATAAATCAACGCGTTCGCGGAGTTGTGATCAGCTGCATTTTTCTACGCTCAATACTTCCACAGACGTTCCACGAAATCTCCTATTCTTCAGCGTAACTGCCTGGTTCTTCGTCCTCGATAATTAGTGAATATGGCGTCCTCCATCGATCAGCTGAAGAATATCGAAATCACCACCGGAGACATCATCGCTGAATACATCTGGTCAGTTCGTGTTCCTTCTGGTCATGATTCTGGACCTGCATCTGAGTCAACCACGTCGTCGGTCTTCGATCCTGTTTTTGGTTTTGAAACCTAACATAATCCGACCTGGTTATGTGTCTGCAGGATCGGTGGCTCAGGAATTGACATCAGGAGCAAGGCTCGGGTAAGCATCATGTGAATGTTGATTTGTTCGTTGTGACTGCTGTCCGTGCCGCTCTGCCTCGCACTGCATATACGATCTGGAAACTCAATCTGATCCTGTTTTCCATTTCTTTTCCACGTGCTGTGAAATGTGACCAGACTCTCAAGGGTCCCATTGGGCCAGATGACGTGGCGAAGCTTCCCAAGTGGAACTTCGATGGCTCCAGCACTGGTCAGGCACCCGGCGACGACAGCGAGGTCATTCTCTAGTGAGTTTCTCTCTCGCACCGACCTCGCCTCGCCTTTCAGCGTTTTGGAAGCATCTGGATCGGTCCTTGCTTTCACTTCGTCTCGCCTTGGACTGCATTGTATCCATCCTGACCCGCATTCTCTGTCCCGCATTGTCCCTCGTGCAGCCCGCAAGCGATTTTCAAGGACCCGTTCCGTGGAGGCAACAACATTCTGGTCATCTGCGACTGCTACACGCCGCAGGGCCAGCCAATTCCCACGAACAAGCGCTCCTTCGCCGCCTCCATCTTCGACAAAGTCAAGGAGCACGAGGCCTGGTGAGTCAGCGCATGACCAGCGCTCTTGAATCGATGTCGATATTCCGCCTCTGCCAGCGCAATGTGGCGTTAGTACCACCAGGAGCTCGACCGCTTCACGCCATGAGCATCACTGATCTTCTAGTTCCGTCTGCTGTTCCCCTCTGCCTCTATTCCACCAGGTTCGGCCTGGAGCAAGAGTACACGCTGATGCAGAAGGACGTGAAGTGGCCGCTCGGGTGGCCCACAGGCGGCTACCCCGCGCCTCAGGGGCCGTATTACTGCGGCACGGGTGCAGACAAGGCGTGGGGGCGCGACATCGTGGACGCGCACTACAAGGCGTGTCTTTACGCGGGGGTTAAGATCAGCGGCATCAACGCGGAGGTCATGCCCGGCCAGGTATGGCCCGCTTGTTATCACGAGACGCTTCGAAAGACGTTTGTGGTTGAAGCTTGCTGTGGTCTTTTGTTCGTGATGACGGGAAGCGCTAATTTGTGCATGATTTTGAAATCTGCGTCTCCCGCTGTGCCTGACTGTATGCGTGAACTACAGTGGGAGTTCCAAGTGGGCCGTGCACGGGAATCGAGGCGGGTGATCACCTCTGGATGGGACGCTACCTTCTTGAGGTATGCAGTCACATTTTGTTTGAGACTAACGCGGTCAATCATCCCTAGTGCTTTTTTTCTACCTGTCAGGACCACGCTTTGCCTAACGGGCCCCATTGCTTGCTCTTTCTTGCAGAGAGTGACGGAGATGGCGGGTGTGGTTCTGACGCTCGATCCCAAGCCCATTGAGGTAAGCGCTCGGTGCATGCCCATTGTTTGGTTGCATCACTTTCCTTCCATCAATTCACCCTGGATGCCGAGTCCGGTCGGCCCTCTCAGGCATACCGTTGTGGTGTCCAGAAACTTCCTTGACTTCATGCATCCGCTTCTGTTCGTTTGGGCGTCCACAGGGCGACTGGAACGGTGCAGGGTGCCACACCAACTACAGCACCAAGGCCATGCGCGAGGAGGGCGGGTACGACGTCATCCTGAAGGCCATTGAGAAGCTGGGCCTGCGGCACAAGGAGCACATCGCCGCCTATGGCGAGGGCAACGAGAGGCGCCTCACTGGCAAGCACGAGACTGCTGACGTCAACACCTTCTCATGGGTACGGCATCTGATAATGAATTGTGCATGATAATGATTTGCGCCAGCACATGGATATGTGCTCCATTGCATGACATTGGAGTTGCATGAGGAGATGAGATGTGCCTCGTACCAAGCAGGAAGGCTCCTGAATGGCACTGAAGCACTCCTGTAGCTTGAGCGGACTCTTGCTCATTGATTTCGTCCCATTGTCCCTGTGTATTTCAGGGTGTGGCGAACCGTGGGTGCTCGGTGCGAGTGGGGCGGGACACGGAGGCTGAGAAGAAGGGGTACTTTGAGGATCGCCGGCCGGCCAGCAACATGGACCCCTATGTGGTCACCGCCAAGATCGCCGAGACCACCATCCTCTGGGACCCCAAGGGTGAGACTGGCGTTGCCCTGCAATAATAACCCTCTTTCTGCGTGCCTGCTGTGCGCATTACTTCATTCTGTGCTATCTGGCTTGCTGTTTCCTCTCATCTGCAGCATCTGCCATCTTTCCCCCCTTTACAGCCCAAGACTCACCCTTCCCTTTTCCTGATCTATATGTTTTGTGCAGCTTAAAGCACTGGCCACGAAAGTCCCATGGAAGCTGCACTTCCAGAGGGGTTAACAAAGGCTTGCTGCCTGTCTAGGATATATCGACCTCAGTCCCGCATGGTTTCACACTTACAAAAGATCTTAGTGCTTTCGTGTGTCTAGGTTGTGCTTTCATGTTTTCCTGCAAAAGCAGGGTGATAGTGGAATTTGACGGTGTTTCTTTCATCTTCTTAGGAGCTGGGGCAGTCAGGGCTCCAGCATTGCACCCTGACTGTCAATTGCTCCCAACTCCGAATGTGTCCCTCTTCAGTCTCCACCCCTTTTGCGGTAATACAAGTCGTTGATAGGGGAGGGAAATAACGAGAAGCACAAAATTAGTACATTGGACTACAATTAATTTGTTAGTAGTATGTGTCATCAATAAAGCCGTAGGCATGCTTTGAGTTGACATGTGATTTAGCAACATTAGCACATATCGATGCAATTAGTACGGGGGTTGTGCGCTGGAGGAGACATTGACGGCTGAAATCGCGTTTTCCCTCCGCACGGGGTTGACGTTACGGTCAACTCAAATTTGAAAGCACAAGATGCGACCAATAGTGTTGCTGCCTGCAAACAAACCTCACCTCTCCATCACCACCCCATCCAACGCCGTAGGTGTCAGGAGTAGCTTCCGCGCGAAAACACGGTAACATATTTTGCACAGCGGAAATATTAGCTCTGGCGAAAGCATAGTCTTCTCGCCAACTCTTCGGACAGTCCTCGCGGCTCCCCGCAGTTCACCGCAGCCCCTCCGCCAACTTTTCGAGGTTTCCCGCCCCGTCAGCGCAAATCTCCCGCAACCAGACTCTGCAGCAGCGGCGTCCCCCGCCTTGGGGTTGCTCTGGAGGAGAGGGAACTTTCTCGGCTTGCATGGCGACTCGACTCCATCCAGCTTGTCTCATCTCACGTCCTTCCTTCGGCTCCCCTCTCCTCTCCTCCCCACACCTCCGCTTAGACTTGGGCATCGCATTCAGCTGGACTTGACAAACCGAACCTCTTTCGCGTGGTACCGCATAGGAACGTGAGAAAACAAACTCAACCGAATTACCGAACTTGCATCAGCCTCACTATGGCCTCGTACGCCTCCGCTTGGGCTTTCCTGAGTGACTCTGCTGATTGGTGACTCACCTCACTTCCGCTCGCCTCGCATTCCCTTCCTAGCCACGATCCCTCTCGCTTAGTCCTCCGTGAGTTGTTTCGAGTCAAGCGCCTGCTTGCTAACTCCATGGCCGTGCATGGCCGCTTCTTCAGTTGTTAAGACGCCCGCTCAGTCTCGTGCGTCAACGCTAGCGGTCACGTCGAACCAATCTTAGTCTTTAGATTAGAACGCGCTACTCTCTAACTGGACGACCGTGAGATCGTTCCCTGGACGACGACTGCTAGAATGTCGAATCATCATCTGGATCTTGTTTAGCGACCATCAACACGTTACTTGCTTCATCTCCATTTTTCGATCAGATCCTATGATTAGACGTCACGCTCTTGACGCACATAAGCTCTTTCGTTGGATATTATTCCGCGTCACGCTCGCTCGCAACCGGCGTCGCGTCGCAACCTGAAGCTTCGTTTCGCGTCGGTCATGATTCGCCCTACGACGCCGATAGCGTGATTAGGGTTCTGTGTAGGACGATAACATTCAGCGTTTCACGCTCGCGACGTTGCGACGGAAGGGGAGGAGTTTCATTCTGCTTCGTATGAAGCATAGAGCATCTATTCATCTTCCAGAGTTCTAATACCGCAGAGTCTGCTGCAAGCACCGATTTGTAAGACGCCTGCGACGTTAACTGAAGGAATATATTAGAGAGCGTAGCGATAACGAGAGAGTTTTTGCTATGAGACTGATGTTGCGCCAGCAACTTGGTAGAGTTTCGGTAGAGTTTGCCTCTAAGGACTTAGTGAGGATTGAAGTAGCATTCGGGCCAAGTAGAATTGCAATATCAACTATGAATACAAAAGCAAACACACAACTAGATATAGGCTACGGGAAAGTTTCACAAAGTTGGCGTGGCACTGCGCAGTAACCCAACCCCACGAAAGTGGTGTGTGGGTGAGCGAACGCGCCTCGTCAACTTCCCAACCCAACTCAGCAGGGAAGTCAATGCCGAGCTCGCCAATTCTCCCAGCACAACTAGAAATGGCGAGACTCACAGAGAATCACCCACAACCACCAAGACCACCCAAGAAGCATGCCCACGATTTCCCTAGACTAACACCACCCCAGCAATGACTGTTTAGTGCTGCCGTTGTCACATCGCGTCACTACGCAACCATCGCCAAATCATAGGGTCGGTGCTGGACTGCTCGTCTTGGTCTTTCATAGTCGACCTGCCAAGTCAAACGGTCGTCGAGGGCCCTTGCTGTCGTAGGGCCCTCTAACATTAACGAAGTCTCGCAGCATCCATGAGAACAACGACCCGTAGACGCCTGCGACGTTAACGAAGTCTCGCAGCATTCATGAGAACAACGACGCGTAGACGCCTGCGACGTTAACGAAGTCGACAACGCGACGACGTCTGACGGTGACGAATAAAGCTACTACGGAAGAGCAGCTTCGTAAGGAGAAGGTGGTAGAGTTCGCGAACGCGTCGACGCTCGCGAATCTCGCGAATGCATGGATGCATGGCGGAGGAGAACTCGACGGAGAGCTCTTGACACTACCGCGGACGCTCTTCGTGAATTCGACACGGATGCTCTGACCAAGCTCGCAAAATGCTTGACGGAGAAGCTCTTTTCGTCGCCTCCACTAGAGCTCGCGAGGCCGTCGACGCTCGCGATGGTAGTACGACGGAGGAGGAGCTTCGGGAATCGGACGACGGAGGATGTGCTCGCGAAGGAGCTCTCGAAGGCGCTATCGAAGACGCTAAGGCGTCGACGTTCGCGCCGCTGCTACGTTTGCGCATCTGGTTGTGGTGAGTTTGCGTGTCCAAACCCGAAACGCTTGTTTGCGATATGTATGGTAAATCGTTTCATGACGCGCATATCTTCCAGATTTATCTCTCTTGGCGATCGCGTTTCGTTTGGTTCCATCTCGCGTATTTTTCATTTCCGTTCCTATCATGGCGTATCTCACTCGCTGCGACTTTCAATTGTCTCAGGAGTAGGAGACGGTTTCCTGGTGGGCCGTGAACCGGTCTCTCACCAAGAGCGGGAGCAGTGCTGGAGAAGCGCTGGCGAGAGCTGAGCTGAGCTGACTGACGGAGCGGAGCTGTTGACTGGCGTGCAGTCAGTCTCTCGCTTGACTGACGTGCAGTCAGAGCAGTCAGTGCAGACAGTGCAGCCGGGGGAGAAGCGCTGGCGAGAGGAGAGCTGACTGACGTTGGTGATGGAACGGTGCTGCTGCGTCCATGGAAGCATGACGTTGACTGGCTTTGGAGCTGCTTTGGTTGGAGGCGGAGTGGTGGTGCTACTGTGTTGGAGGTGGAACAGTGCTGCTGCTGCGATGGAATGGTGCTGCTGCGATGGAGTGGTGCTGCTGAGTTGGAGGCGGTGCTGCTGAGTTGGAGGCGGTGCTGCTGAGTTGGAGGCGGTGCTGCTGTGTTGGAGGCGGTGCTGCTGTGCTGGAGGCGGTGCTGCTGTGTTGGAGGCGGTGCTGTGTTGGAGGTGGAGCTGCTGTGTTGGAGCGGTGCTGCTGTGTTGGAGGCGGTGCTGCTGTGTTGGAGGCGGTGCTGCTGTGTTGGAGCGGTGCTGCTGTGTTGGAGGCGGTGCTGCTGTGTTGGAGGCGGTGCTACTGTGTTGGAGCGGTGCTGCTGTGTTGGAGGCGGTGCTGCTGTGTTGGAGCGGTGCTGTTGTGTTGGAGGCGGTGCTGCTGTGTTTGAGGCGTGGTGCTGCTGGCGAGAGGAGATGGCTGCCTGGTGCGTGGTGCTGCTGCGAAGGAGGTGGCGTGGTGGTGCTGCTCTTCTCTTTTCCAACAACCGGCTAAGTTACCTCTGGCCCTCTCTCCCCCTTTTGCTCCCTGACCCATTCCCCGCGTCCCATTCCTCCTCCCCCTCTTCCCTCCTCCTCCTCCTCCCCCTCCTCCTCCTCCCCCTCCTCCTCCTCCTCCTCCTCCTCCTCCTCCTCCTCCTCCTGCTCCTCCTCCCCCTCCTCCCCCTCCTCCTCCCTTCTCATTCTCCTTCTCCCCCTCCTGCTCCTTCTCATTCTCTTCCCCCTTCTCTTTCTCCTTCTCCATCTCCTTCTCCTCCCGCCTCTCCTCCTCCTCTGTCGTTGCTGGTTGAGGCGATACACAACGGTCACAGACCATCCCCCCCACTGCCGGTATTCTCCCAAAACTTCTACTGCGGTAAACACCCCCCCCTCCCTTGGGTAGTTCGGGCAACGGCCCCAGTGTAAGTGCATCCGGTTAACCCTTGGGTACTTCAAAGCCCCCAGCTTAAGTGCATCCGGGCAAACTCTTCACTACTTCGGGACAACGGGGTAAATCCCCCAGCGTAAGTGTATCCGGTTGTTTCGGGGTAAATGCCCTCAGTGTAAGTGCATCCGGGCAACCCTATGGGTCTGTGGCTTGTGGGAGTAGCCTCGCCAGTAACGACACTCCCTCCTCCTCCTCTTCTTCCTGCTTCCTCCCTCCTCCTCCTCCCGTCCTTCCCCCTCCTCTTCTTCCTGCTTCCTCCCTCCTCCTCCTCCCTTCCTTCCTCCTCCTCTACTTCCTGCTTCCTCCCTCCTCCCTTCCTTCCTCCTCCTCTTCTTCCTGCTTCCTCCCTCCTCCTCCTCCTCCTCCTCCTCCTCCTCCTCCTCCTCCTCCTCCTCCTCCTCCTCCTCCTCCTCCTCCTCCTCCTCCTCCTCCTCCTCCTCTTCCTCCTCCTCCTCCTCCTCCTCCTCCTCCTCCTCCTCCTCCTCCTCCTCCTCCTCCTCCTCCTCCTCCTCCTCCTCCTCCTCCTCCTCCTCCTCCTCCCGCCCTTGCTCCTCCTCCTCCCGCCATTTCCTGCTGTCTTCGTCGTTTTGCTGTGCTTGTACCCTCTACCCAGCACCTACCTTTTCTGTAGTAGGTGTTGCATCTCTCTGTTCCTTGTGCAGGGGCGCTGAGGCGTGGCGGGGGAGGCGGAGCAGCAGCTGGAGAGGTGCTGCTGTGGTGGAGGCAACTGGAGCGGCCGCAACTGGAGCAGCAATGACTGGAGAAGCAAGTAAGTACATCTTCCTGGAGGAGCTTTCATGTTTATTCGTCGTGTTTCTGCAGTCTTCCTCCTTTCCCTGCATTCGTTCTTTTTCACTCTGCCATTTAACGGTGTCAAATTAGTCTTTCAACTTAATCTGCTACACTTTGCCTTTATTCTGATCAACCTTCTCTCTCTGATCGCTGTGCAGTGACTGGGATTGTTAAGGAGTAGGGTGGGAAGACGGAGCAGCAGTGACAGGAGCAACTGCTCTGGCTGTGGGGAGGAGAGGAGAGCAGAAAGAAGAGCAGCAAGAGAAGCTGTTGAAACCCTCCTGGAGCTGGCTGTGGGGAGGAGAGCAGTGGCAGCAGCAACTGGAGAAGCGGCGAGTGGAAAAGCAGAAACTGGAGAAGCAGCGACTTGAGAAGCAAATAAGTAAGTGGCTGGCAGTAGAAGAGAAGATCTGCAGTGACACATGCGGTGGCAGCAGCGGTGGGAGAAGGAGAGAGGTCCGCAATGACACTACAGCTGACAGCAGCAGTGGCTAACAGCAGAAGCGAAGACCAGCAGTGACACCAGCGGTGGCAGCAGCGGTGGGAGAAGGAGAGAGGTCCGCAATGACACTACATCTGACAGCAGCAGTGGCTGGCAGTAGAAGAGAAGACCAGCAGTGACACCAGCGGTGGCAGCAGCGGTGGGAGAAGGAGAGGGGTCCGCAATGACACTACAGCAGCAGTGACAGCAGCAGTGGCAGCAGCAGTGGGAGCAGCGGTGGCAGCAGAAGGGCAGGCTAGCAGTGGGAGCAGATGCTAGAAGGGAAGGCAAGCAGTGGGAGCAGATGCTAGAAGGGAAGGCTAGCAGTGGGAGCAGATGCTAGCAGGGAAGGCTACCGTTGGTGAGTTTTGAGAGACGTCTCAAAACTCACGCCCCCTCCTTCCTCACTGCAGATTCGCTGCAGTGAGCAAAACGTTCGTCTCAAAACTCTCACTTGTTGTGGACTGGTTGTTGTTCTTGCTTTCTCTGGAGGTGGAGTGGCGCCTTCAAGTGAGGCGCTTTGACCCCTTGGGGGGCAAAGGATCAACACAAGAGGAGCAGCGGGAGGTGGAGCGGCGCCTTCAAGTGAGGCGCTTTGACCCTCTGGGGGGCAAAGGATCACCACAAGAGGAGCAGCGGGAGGTGGAGCGGCGCCTTCAAGTGAGGCGCTTTGACCCTCTGGGGGGCAAAGGATCAACACAAGAGGAGCAGCGGGAGGTGGAGCGGCGCCTTCAAGTGAGGCGCTTTGACCCTCTGGGGGGCAAAGGATCAACACAAGAGGAGCAGCGGGAGGTGGAGCGGCGCCTTCAAGTGAGGCGCTTTGACCCCCTGGGGGGCAAAGGATCAACACAAGAGGAGCAGCGGGAGGTGGAGCGGCGCCTTCAAGTGAGGCGCTTTGACCCTCTGTGGGGCAAAGGATCAACACAAGAGGAGCAGCGGGAGGTGGAGCGGCGCCTTCAAGTGAGGCGCTTTGACCCCCTGGAGGGCAAAGGATCAACACAAGAGGAGCAGCGGGAGGTGGAGCGGCGCCTTCAAGTGAGGCGCTTTGACCCCCTGGGGGGCAAAGGATCAACACAAGAGGAGCAGCGGGAGGTGGAGCGGCGCCTTCAAGTGAGGCGCTTTGACCCCCTGGGGGGCAAAGGATCAACACAAGAGGAGCAGCGGGAGGTGGAGCAGCAGGAGGAGTGGCAGCTTCAAGTGAGGCGCGTACTTTGCCCGCTAGGGGACGCAGGCGGGAGCAACAGGGGGACGCAGCAGCAAGGGGGCAAAGGATTAAATTTGTGCCACCCCTCTTCTAGGTACAGAAAGACCGGGGGAGGCAACACCAAGGCCGGAGCAACATGGGGACGCAGCAGCTAGGACCCGTTCTGAGCTGCAGTCATTTTTGCTTTCTTGTGTCGTCTCATGCCTAATGTTGTTATGTGTGTGTCGTCTTGTCTTAGCCGTCACCAAGACATCAAGAACGCTCCAACCCCCTCGGTGAGTTATCTTGCATTCTGTTTTCTTGTTTTCCACATGCAGTAATGTCGTGGTTTGTTGCCTCCCTCCCCTTTCAGACAGCCCCAAGACTTCCAGACGGCTTCATTCCCCTCGGTAAGTGCTCGTCCATTTCTGTTTTCTTGTTTTCCACATGCACTAATGTCGTGGTTTGTTGCCTCCCCTTTCAGACAGCCCCAAGACTTCAAGACGGCTTCATTCCCCTCGGTATGTGCTGTTCCATTTCTGTTATTTGTTTTCCACGTGCACTAACGTTCTTGTTTGTCTGATTTAGCAGTGAAAGGGGAGCAGACTAGCGCGGGAGCTGAGGAACGCGGGAGCAGCAGAGCCACAGCCAGTGAGTATCTGCCTTCCTACTTTCGCTTTTCGTTCTCTAGGATGGATGGTCATTGCCTTGTTCACTTTGCATTCATTCCTTGGCATTCTGAATCTTTGGGTGCAATGAACTCATTGAATCTTTCTTCCCACAAGAGATGCAGCAGCGGAGATGGGAGCAGCAGTGGAGCGAAGGAGGAGAGGAGGCGAGGAGGAGAGGAGGCGGGGAGGAGAGGAGGCGAGGAGGAGAGGAGGCGAGGAGGAGGAGGCGAGGAGGAGAGGAGGCGAGGAGCAGAGGAGGCGAGGAGCAGCAGAGGCGAAGGAGGAGAGGAGGCGAGGAGGAGAGGAGGCGAGGAGCAGAGGAGGTGAGGAGGAAAGGAGGCGAGGAGGAGAGGAGGAGAGGAGGCGAGGAGCAGAGGAGGCGAGGAGGCGAGGAGCAGCAGAGGCGAAGGAGGATTCTCTGCTATTGCCACTGCCAGTGAGAATCTTTTTGCCATTGCCATTGCCTCTGCCTCTGTTTCTTGTTCTTTAGGATGAATGATCATTACCTTGTTCGATCTCGAATCACGCTTGCGTTGTTCGCTTGTTGCCTTGGTGGCACTGGGTGAAATCAGTGGGTGCTCATAGGCCCTTTCTTCCTTCCCATTCCGCAGGAGATGCATCGGAGGAGGAGACGGAGCAGCAGAGGAACAGCGGAGGAGGGGAGGCGAGGAGCAGCAGAGGAACAGCGGAGGAGAGGACATGAGGAGCAGCGGAGGAGAGGAGGCGAGGAGCAGTAGAGGCGAAGGAGGAATCCCGGCCATTGCTACTGCCTGTGAGCATCTCCTTTCCTGCTTTCGATCCTTTGGATGGATGGTCGCTGCCTTGTTCGCTTGGTATCGAAATCGATTGTTGCAATCGCTGGGTGCTCATGAGTTCTTTCTTTGTTCCCTTTCCGCAGGAGATGCATCGAAGGGGACGGAGCAGCAGAGGAGAGCAGCAGCCGGGGAGAGGAGCAGAGGAGATGCATCAGAGGCTGAGAGCAGCAAAGAAGAATTTTCGGTGAGGATCTAATTTCCTGCTTTCGACTGATGGTCTTTGCCTCATTCGCTTTGCATTTGTTCTGAATCACTTCTCGGCACTGGGTGCAACCTTTGGGTGCAATTCGTGCAATGCGCTCATAGACTTTCTCTTCTCATTCCGCAGGATATGGAGCAGAGGAGATGCATCAGATGAGGAGGAGATGCATCAGAGGAGGAGATGCATCAGAGGAGGAGGAGATGCATCAGAGGAGGAGGAGATGCATCAGAGGAGAGGAGATGCATCAGAGGAGGAGGAGATGCATCAGAGGAGGAGGAGGTGCATCAGAGGAGAGGAGGAGATGCATCAGAGGAGGAGGAGGTGCATCAGAGGAGGAGGAGATGCATCAGAGGAGAGGAGGAGATGCATCAGAGGAGGAGGAGATGCATCAGAGGAGAGGAGGAGATGCATCAGAGGAGGAGGAGGTGCATCAGAGGAGGAGGAGATGCATCAGAGGAGGAGGAGATGCATCAGAGGAGGAGGAGGTGCATCAGAGGAGAGGAGGAGATGCATCAGAGGAGGAGGAGATGCATCAGAGGAGGAGGAGTTGCATCAGAGGAGGAGGAGATGCATCAGAGGAGGAGGAGCTGCATCAGAGGAGAGGAGATGCATCAGAGGAGGAGGAGCTGCATCAGAGGAGAGGAGATGCATCAGAGGAGGAGGAGATGCATCAGAGGAGGAGGAGGTGCATCAGAGGAGGAGGAGATGCATCAGAGGAGAGGAGGAGATGCATCAGAGGAGGAGGAGGTGCATCAGAGGAGGAGGAGCTGCATCAGAGGAGAGGAGATGCATCAGAGGAGAGGAGATGCATCAGAGGAGGAGGAGATGCATCAGAGGAGGAGGAGATGCATCAGAGGAGGAGGAGATGCATCAGAGGAGGAGGAGGTGCATCAGAGGAGGAGGAGATGCATCAGAGGAGAGGAGGAGATGCATCAGAGGAGGAGGAGGTGCATCAGAGGAGGAGGAGCTGCATCAGAGGAGAGGAGATGCATCAGAGGAGAGGAGATGCATCAGAGGAGGAGGAGATGCATCAGAGGAGGAGGAGATGCATCAGAGGAGGAGGAGATGCATCAGAGGAGAGGAGATGCATCAGAGGAGAGGATATGCATCAGAGGAGGAGGAGGTGCATCAGAGGAGAGGAGGAGATGCATCAGAGGAGGAGGAGGTGCATCAGAGGAGGAGGAGATGCATCAGAGGAGGAGGAGATGCATCAGAGGAGAGGAGGAGATGCATCAGAGGAGGAGGAGGTGCATCAGAGGAGGAGATGCATCAGAGGAGAGGAGGAGATGCATCAGAGGAGGAGGAGGTGCATCAGAGGAGGAGGAGCTGCATCAGAGGAGAGGAGATGCATCAGAGGAGGAGGAGGTGCATCAGAGGAGAGGAGGAGATGCATCAGAGGAGGAGGAGGTGCATCAGAGGAGAGGAGGAGATGCATCAGAGGAGGAGGAGGTGCATCAGAGGAGGAGGAGATGCATCAGAGGAGGAGGAGATGCATCAGAGGAGGAGGAGATGCATCAGAGGAGGAGGAGATGCATCAGAGGAGGAGGAGGTGCATCAGAGGAGGAGGAGATGCATCAGAGGAGAGGAGGAGATGCATCAGAGGAGGAGGAGGTGCATCAGAGGAGGAGGAGCTGCATCAGAGGAGAGGAGATGCATCAGAGGAGAGGAGATGCATCAGAGGAGGAGGAGATGAATCAGAGGAGGAGGAGATGCATCAGAGGAGGAGGAGATGCATCAGAGGAGAGGAGATGCATCAGAGGAGAGGAGATGCATCAGAGGAGGAGGAGGTGCATCAGAGGAGAGGAGGAGATGCATCAGAGGAGGAGGAGGTGCATCAGAGGAGGAGGAGATGCATCAGAGGAGGAGGAGATGCATCAGAGGAGAGGAGGAGATGCATCAGAGGAGGAGGAGGTGCATCAGAGGAGGAGATGCATCAGAGGAGAGGAGGAGATGCATCAGAGGAGGAGGAGGTGCATCAGAGGAGGAGGAGCTGCATCAGAGGAGAGGAGATGCATCAGAGGAGGAGGAGGTGCATCAGAGGAGAGGAGGAGATGCATCAGAGGAGGAGGAGG